CGAAGATTAATCGAATGCCTTAATTCAAATTCGATTTCAATTTGTTCATGTTAATTCGTGGCACATATTTTTCGAATAGTGCACGTGACATCATTACTTTCTACATGTACATCTCTTATAAGCCTAAAATGAACATTTCTCCATCTGTATATCATGTTATATTATGATTGCAGCCTGCAGAAAAGGCCGCCTTAAGAGCTCTCTATGAAAGCCATACGATTAGTGTTGCTGACGATATACATAACTACTATAAAGATGGCATCCTCGAAAGTAACCTAAGGAAAAGGATTAACGACAGTACAGTTGTTACCCTAGAAACGGCAATTTATGTCTTCAAATACGTTGGAGAATATCCAACAATGACTGAAATGAAAGAGGTCACTCGCCATCGTACAAACACAATCAGGCTTGTGGTAGCCGCAATCTTGCACGGGCGTTTTAAAGTTAAAACGTGAATATTATGATAGTTCCTTGTACAATATATCGATCTACAAATGCTGTTCAACATTGAACATTTCATAAAGATAGACTTTACATTTTCAACCTCCGAACAAAAATGAAATGTAATTAGATGAAATATAATTTAGTAAAAACAACGTATTTAAGGTTTGTTTGTTGGAAAGTAAATATAAAATACAAGAAAACCTACAGAGTGGGACAGTAAAATGTCCGCTTCTTCATTTTGTAGAGTACAATACTGTATGCATAACATAACCCTTTCTCATATGACTAACAAAGATACAGCCATATTTACCTCATGCAAGATATTGCCATCTTTCATTCTAAAAAGTCACACGAGCAAGATGAGATTTACTTGTGACATCACTCGTTTAAAAATATCAACAACATGGGAACGAATACAACATTGCTATGACTATCCATGTTTATTCTTTATCGTATCGAAGAATTATCAATTTGCCTCAATCAATCCTGACTACACCCAGGAAAGTAGTTTTATCCGTTCCACTGACTTGATATATCTCAAAATTTGCATGAAAATAGCATGACATAGTGGAAGGAAATGTTTACAGTTGTATATGCTGTATATGATATAAGCATACCAAGCTACCTGGGAGTTGAACCCAGACCAAGAATTGTAACATTCCTAGTGTGCCCACGTAACTGTGAAGGTATGTTACACGTAACTACATTAACTATACTAATTTTGTATTTTCCCCACCGTCTTAACCATACCCTGTTTATTACTTTGTGATACAACCGTTCGATCTGAGAATATCTTCATGAAAAACAGAAAAAGTTCTGTTTGAAACCATCAATATACTCACATAACCATAAAAACAAAAATAAATATTCTTTAATTGTCGAATGCATGATTATTTTTTGATGTATTACTGGTTATTAGTAAAAAATGATAAATTAAACATTCAATAAAATTAAAATAAAGTTTCTTTTTGTCTTTAGTATTATTCTTAAAATAAATAACGTTTATATTAATCATAAATACTAAAACGATTGTTTTATTTTTATGCAAATGAACAAAATGGGGCGTGAATTTGGGTATTCCCAGCATCTTATGATTTCATCACCTCGCATGAAGCATAAATAAACGCGCAATCGCATCAGTTCCAGAGTAAAGTTTTTCCATCTGAAGCATTTGTGAATCAGTTAATTAGAAATTAGGAATTCGGATTTTAAAATAAGCGATAGAATGGCATTGAACATTCCCGGAACTAAAGGAAAAATTCTAACCATGGTTCTGGAGCAGTGGTAAATCCAATTCAGCCGAAATCATATTCTGATGATTTGACGGTAACTTATTTTAAACAAAATTATTTATTATCATTATGTTAATAAAACTCTTATTCTGAAAATGCTATTTTAATCGATATTTATTAAACTTTATTGTTATGGTTCAGTTTTTCGATGCTCTTTCGATCTTCATTTTTTACATAATTTTTTACATACCTTAAAATGTATCAAATGCGATACATATCCCAAAATGCTTTAGTTATCCATTTCGGTATTTATATGTATTGCATCCAAATTCAGTAAAATATTTCAATTCTTGACAAAGTCGTGTCTTTAATAAGATTTATCTTTAACTTTAACTATCAGTTTGTCCAAAATTATATTTCGAAATAACACAAACGCAATAAACTTTAAAATATTTGTTTACGGTCGGATCTACTTTCTTGATAAGCCACATTCATTCATACTCCATTTCGTATGTATTGGTGTAAACCTTTGATTCCAGTTATTGTAGAGAATCGACAATCCAAATTATATACTATTTATCGAAAAAAACGCAATGATCAATAGAGAGTAAGTCTAAATAACATGTGATTTGATTTGATTTCATTTGAGTTACAATTATCTCACACTTTCTACATGTACATCTCTTATAAGCCTAAAATGAACATTTCTCCATCTGTATATCATGTTATATTATAATTGCAGTCTGCAGAAAAGGCCGCCCTAAGAGCTCTCTATGAGAGCCACACGATTAGTGTTGCTGACGATATACATAACTACTATAAAGATGGCATCCTCGAAAGTAACCTAAGGAAAAGGATTAACGACAGTACAGTTGTTACCCTAGAAACGGCAATTGATGTCTTCGAAAACATTTGGGAATATCCTACAATGACTAAAATGAGAGAGGTCACTCGCCATCGTACAAACACAATTAGGCTTGTGGTAGCCGCAATCTTGCACGGGCGTTTTAAAGTTAAAAAGTGAATATTATGATAGTACAATAGTACAAATGTTCGGTACAGCATACAGGGTGTTCCAAAAGTAACAGGACTGGTGCTGGCATTTTGTTAAATATGCACCAATCGTCTCCAAAATATTACATAATGTACTTTCATGTATCGTTACTAAGACTGCAAAGTTTCAACAAAATATCTGAAACTCGGGTAGAGTTATGGTTGCTATAGTAACGTGACATCGCAATACCCGGGGAAACATTCCACGCAAAAAGTTACAGAGACATTAAGCATTTTGTACATCCCATATCATTTTGTACATGCCATATCAAAGTTGAAATGCAACATCTGGTGGGAATTACATTTGTTTTACATCATTTTATATTCCTATGTATCCTCTACTTTGAAATAGGCTCCTCTTTGGTCAGTACAAGAGTAGTACTCTGTATCCATGACCCAAACACATGAGTGAGCCCATTTGAGGACATGTCACGCAGGGTCGATTTGACAATTTGGAGAAGGTCATTCTCATCTTTAAAGGTCGTACAGCACTGATTAGCATTCCGTTCTTAATATAAGTAAAAATTAGATGTTGCATTATCAGAAGAGCATGGTGCATGGTTTTAGACCTCAAGACCTAGCTCCTCTATAGCTGCATGGTCTGTAATGGTGACCTGCGGGCAGGCACGCTATCAAGGTGGATGACTGGCTCCAAATTGGGTATTTTCAAAACTCAACCATGAATTGTTCAGACTGTTATACATAGTGACATTCAAGGAAATTGAATAAATGTTAGCATTATGAAATTATACTTGAATCTGAGTTGTTTAGCAACATTTTACAACAAAGCAACTTATAAAATAAACAAAAAAATGTTGTATTATAATAGGTGAATTAGATACTTTCTTCAGTAATACAAAAATATTAGATATCACATTTTCAGGAAAAAAGTTGCCCCGGGTATTGGGATGTCACGTTACTATAGTAACCATAACTCTAACCGCATTTCATCATTTTTTCTGAAACTTTTTTTTAGTTTTACTTGAAACAATTTTAGTTGCAATACTTCAAAGTACAATTTGTAAAAATTCGAAGACACTCAGTGCAAAATTGACAAAATATGTTACTTTTGGAACACCCTGTATCGATCTACAAATGGTGTACAACAAATTGAACATTTCATAAAGATAGACTTTACATTTTCAACCTCCGAACAAAAATTTAATTTAGAAATGAAATGTATTTAGATGAAATATATAATTTAGTAAAAACAGCGTATTTGTAGTTTGTTTGTTGTATAGTAAATATAAATACAAGAAAACCTACAGAGTGGGACAGTAAAAATTCCTCTTCTTCACTTTATAGAGTACAGTATGCATAACATAACCCTTTCTCATATGACTAACAAAGATACAGCCATATTTACCCCTTGCACGATCTTGCCATCTTTCATTCTAAAAAGTCACACGTGCAAGATGAGATTTACTTGTGACATCACTCGTTTAAAAATATCAAGAACATGGGAACGAATACAACATTGCTATGACTATCCATGTTTATTCTTTATCGAGTCGAAGCATTATCAATTTTGCCTCAATCAATCCTGACTACACCCATAAAAGTAGCTTTATCTGTTTCACTGACTTGATTTATATCAAAATTTGCATAAAAAGCATGACATAGTGGAAGGAAATGATTACAGCTGTATATGGTGTATATGATATAAGCATACCAAGCTACCTGGGAGTTGAACCCAGACCAAGAATTGTAACATTCTTAGTGTGCCCACGTAACTGTGAAGGTATGTTACACGTAACTACATTAACTTCATCAATTTTATATTTTCCAACTATCTTAACTATACCCTGTTTATTACTTTGTGATTCAACCGTTCGATCTGAGAATGTCTTCATGAAAAACAGAAAAAGTTCTGTTTGAAACCATCAATATACTCACATAACCATAAAGACAAAAATAAATATTCTTTAATTGTCGAATGCATGACTATTTTTTGATGTATTATGTATAAGGTATCCTTAAAAATCAAACAAGTTATTGTCTCGCCCTGTACTTCTTGAACGTGTCATGGTTTAATAGCGAGCCTAACAAGTACTGATTATTAAAAAATAATAAAATAAACATTCAATAAAGTTAAAATAAAGTTACTATATTTTTTGTCTTCATTATAATTCTTATAATAAATTTATCTTAATCATAAATACTAAAACGATTGTTTTATTTTTATGCAAATGAACTAAATGGGGCGTGGATTAAGGTATTCCCAGCATCTTATGATCTCATCGCCTCCTTCGAAGCACAAATATACGCGCAATTGCATCAGTTCCAGAGTAAAGTTTTTCCATCTGATGCATTTGTAAATCAGTTAATTAGGATTTATTAACAGAACATTTAAAATAAGCGAAAGAATGGCTCGGCCTAACATACCCAGATCTAAACAAATATACGTTCCTAACTATGGTTCTGGAGCAGCGGTAAATCTAATTCTGCCGAAATCATATTCTGAATACTTGACGGTAAGTTATTTTTAACAAAATTATTTGTTATCATTATGTAAATAAGACTCTTATTGTGAAAATGCTATTTTAATTAATATTTATTAAACTGTTTATTGTTATGGTTCAGCTGATCGACCTTCATTCTTACATTAGTCTTTACATACCTAAACATATATCAAATGCGACACATATCCCCAATTGCTTTAGTTATCCGTTGCGGTATTTGTTAGTATTGCATCCAAATTCAGTAAAATATTTTAATTCTTGACAAAGTTGTGCCTTTAATAAGATTTACTTTTAACTTTATCTATCAGTTTGTCCGAAGTTATATTTTGAAATAACACAAACGCAATAAACTTTAAAATATTTGTTTACGGTCGGATCTACTTTCTTGATAAGCCACATTCTTTCATACTCCATTTTGTATGAGTTGTTGTAACCCTTTGATTCCAGTTATTGTAAAGAATCGACAATCCAAATTATATACTATTCATCGAAAAAACGCAATGATTGATAGAGAGTACGTCTTAATAACACGTGATTTGATTTGATTTCATTTAAGTTCCAATTATCTCACACAGACACCACAAGGCGTATAAGTGTGGTAGGATAATGAAATTAATTAATATCTCAAGGTAGAACCAGCTCCCCGCATTAATCTGACAGGAACTAGTATCTTTATCCTGACTAGGACAACCGACAGCCAACTCAAGCCAACTCAGCCTTTTAGTATCGAGTTAGTAGCACAGTAATCAACTACCAAGCTGGCTCCTTTTGCCACATCCTGGGGTTGAATCCAGGACCTTGGCTTGACAAGCCCAGAGTGCTAAGCTTTACATTATAGAGCCAAAAACAAAGAGTAACTTTAAGTTTTTCCCTTTAGTTTTATAGTATTTTGTACGTTTATGTTTCAGGAAGATCAAAAGGACGATCTTGTTAAATTATACAACAGTGAATCGGGAGGGGTCACAACAACTGATTATATTCACCAGTACTATCTAGACGGAGACGGAGGCATAAACCTCGATCGTTGGCTTATCGAAAAACACGAAGTTAACATCGTTATGGCGAGGGAGGTTTCCAAAAATATTAAAAGCTATCCGACGATATATGCAATGCAAAGTTTCACCACCCGCAGAGGCAGAACCTATAGTACAGACAGGATTCGATTGATTGTCGCAACCATTTTACATGGACGTTTCTCGGTTTGAACCAAACGGCTTGATGGCCTATTGAAAACAATGAGATGTATGCACAATTAACGCATGATATACACTTTATGCACTTTCTGATAACCTCAATTGTATTTCTCGGCGTTTTAAAGCCATTTGATATGTTTTAATATGCAATGTTCCTTTATATGACAAAATAAATTATGGACCGCAAAAATTTCATTGTTATGTTTTCTCAACATCTATGGAAGGAAACTGAGATCTTATTCCCTAAATTCTCAGAACTCTAAGAACAAATCATGTATCTTGTCAGTTATATCAAGAAATGGCAGTCCAGAAAACATCCACACTGTTATGTCAACATACACATTTTGATATATCCCTCATTTTTGATTTATATGTGAGTCTGAGCAGTCATCCCGGCTAATATGATTTATGTCTAGGTCACATTTACCCCGATTAATCGGCCGGCGCCCGGCCGATTGCAGTATTCTGTTCAAAACTGATTTCGAATTCCATCAAACTGACAAAACCTTTTTTAAAAGCATGTACAAGTTCTCAGGAGTTCACATCTGACCTCAAATTTGAGATTTGACCTTTAATTTTGAACATACTACTCGATCGGCAAGTCGCCGGCCGCTGAATCGGAGCAAATGTGACCTAGGCACTAATATGATCCTTGTCACTGATTAAATAAGTCATTTCGAAGTTAATATTTCCCAAAAGACAGTGTTAAATGTAATAACAGTCCTCTACCTGCCATATTTTCTGGCAATTCTGGCTACTAATCTTCGAAACCAATATATCAATCTACCCCCATGTTCAGAATACAGGAATGATAAATACACATCGGGATGTTAGATTATTGTGGACAAGTAGATGATAGTTAAAGCCACACACGGGAAGCACAAATGAAGACAATCGAAGATGTTTATATCACAAGAATTGCCGAAGATGCTTCAAGGAACCTATCGAATTCCTTGGAGGGTTAGGGTTAGATCTTCAGCCATCTTCGACTGCGGTCCGAAATCAGCTAGATGAATCTCAAGTCACTTCACGAAGATGGCCGAAGATGCTTATATCACGGAGATGGCCGAAATGATTCAGAGAACCAATCAAATTCCTGGAAGGGGTGGGCATGGATTTTTGGTATCCTCCTTCGCTGTCAAAAAATTGAAACCCTGGTTTTTAATGAGAAGCAATTCTACTCCCAGCAAAATGTAACGAGGTAGTTTAAAATAATTCTACCTACAACATATATAGCACAGTATATCCTATTTTTGGTACTATTAAATGACAAGGGATTCTATTATTAACCTCAAGTAAAACCTGTTGCAGCTGATGGATTGAATGACAAATCGATGTGATTTCGTTGCAATTTCAATGCTATGCATGTATCATCGAAATATCCTCCCAAACTGTACTGCACTGTCTGTTTATTCAACGCTTCTTTCCAACCTTATACATTTTATTTATCGAAATTTAAATGAGATTATAGCTGTGACAAAATGATAGATATCTTCGTTTACTTGGTATTAATAGCACTTCAACCTGAACCCAGACCAAATACTGTAACATTCTTGGTGTGTCTACGCACTGGAAACGATGATACATTAGATAGATTGCAATGTAATGACATTTGATTTGAAAAACTAACACTTGTATACATGATGCAAGCATACCCAGCTACCTGGGAGTTGAACCCAGACCAAGAACTGTAACATTATTGGTGTGCCCACGTAACTGTGAAGGTATGATACACGCAACTACATTAACTATAATTTAGTCATACCTTAAATAGTTATGTGAAACAGAGCTGCCGTCTTTCCTGTTTTCAGAGATATCCTTATAATAAATAATGCCCATCATGAATAAAACTACTAATACCATTGTTTTAATTTTATGCAAATCACACAAATAGGGCGGAGACTAAGGTTTCTAATCATCGTATGATCTCATTGCATAGTATGATATATATGTATATATATACATATATATAAGGCTCATTTGAATTTGTTTCATAGTAAATTGTTTCCATCTGAAGCCTTCTATAGTTCAGTTAATTAAGATTTACCAATAAGGATTTAGGAAATAAGCGATATTATGCCTGAAACAAACACGCCCGCAGTACAACAACAAGATGCTACTGACTATGGTTCTGGAGCAGCGAGAAATCATATTCAGCCAAAATCCTATTCTGAAAATTTGACGGTAATTAAATTAACTTCGTTATTATTAATATGTTAATGAAATCAATTTTGTATTCTGAATATATGAATTTTATTAATACCAACAAAACTACTTATTAATATTCACATTGTTCTGTTTTGCCGTCCTGTTTTGATCTTTGATTTAATACCAGTACTAACACACATACAACTTATCCAATGCAATAATAATTCCAAATTTCAATAAGCTATGTCATGTGTTTATATTTTCGTGTTGTATTGAAGTCCAATGGAATTATTCAATTTATTAACATTTTGCCTTATATATAAAATTTACGTTAAGCCGTTTCTATCAATTTGTTCTAAACCGCATCTTAAAATAATATCCTTTCGGAAGAAGTTGAAATATTTTATTTATTATGGTCGGGTCTACTTTCTTAATTATATTCATTCCTACACCACAATTTTCAGTATTGCTGTGTCCCTTTAATTCTAGTGATCTACACAACAATAAAAGTTGCGAGTAGAGGAATTTTAGATAATGTGACAATATTTGAGCAACACACTAAATTATATCCTTCAGTTTTACGCTGTACGTTTATTTTTTCAGGAACAAGAAACGAAGGACTTAGTCGCTTTATACAACAGCGACTTGATCACAACAGATGAAATTCATCAATACTATTTAGATGGGGGTCAGGAGCGTGGGCGCAAGCTTATCGAAGAATACAAAGTTAGCATCGACATGGCGAGAAAAGTTTTCAACAATATTAAAGACTATCCAACAATGAAAGACATGAATAGTTTCACCACCTATAGTACAGACAAGATTCGTTTGAGTGTTGCAGCTGTTTTACATGGACGTTTCTCTGTTAAAAATTAAATTTATTGACGAATCCAACGTTCAGTTAATAATATGTACATGTAGTGTCCACATGTTATACATTTCTGCTAATAATTTGATGACATAAAATCTATGTGTTGTTTTAAATACGCAACGTTCCTTTGTGAGACAAAATAAATCATGGGCCACAAAATAATTATTGTAATAATTGTACAAACCTTAATGGGGAAAACCCGAGGTCCCTTCATTAAATTCTCAGACTTTTAAACCGAATGCGGGTAGGGGTCGGATGGTCAAACCACCTCCGGATATATTTTGTAATCGTAATAGCTATGGGTATGGATAAAAACCATGTTTCGTGCAAAAATCGATGTGATCGGAGTATGGCTGAGATAGGATGATGGGAACTTGTTTTGTTTTCAGGAATTCCTTAAAAATCATCTTTCATAGGAAACAAATATACATCTGAGCACAAATCCCAAAGGGAAAGGAGCAAAAACTGTTGAAAAACCTAGTAAGCAAAGCAAACTCTTAGTGTATGACGGTCATTAGGAAAATACCCTACATATCCAAAAAACAACTGTCTAACGTAAAAATAAATGCTGTCTAACACCCCGTTCCCTTCCAATCGAGAACCAAAATCACAATCCAGGACCAGAAAACCGAGTGACATTTTATTCATAATGAAATTATTACGATACATATTTAAGAAAAAATGAAAAATTGATAGCCAATACTCATAACATGAAATATGGTTGTAAATATTAGTTCTCATAAAATGCCTCAAATGATGTGGGATAGACGAAATCCAGTGAAGAAGTCCATTATTAACCAATTCAAAAGATCCTGTTTGACCCCGAGCCATATTTACAAAATAGTAAGATTTCAATATATTAAGATACCATAAATATATTCCCAGTATCAACAGAAACAACTGTACCGACACAATGTAATAAATGGCACGTGTCTTTATATGAAGACATTTAATGATGATCAACGGTCATTGCCCCTTTATTTCAGCATGACAGGACTTCCGGAGGGAGATTTTGGTAAGACATTTTAATTGCTTTTTGTCTTCCAAATTTTAACAAAAATACCTGGCACGAAATGTTGTTCGTAGATTCCGGTTTTGAAATAAATATGGTTTCATGTTAGACATTATGATAAACCTGATGGAAGAATATAATAAATTCATCAAATGATATTCTAGAATTGTCCATGGTCAAGGAATGGGGAATCCCTTAATACCAGATGTGTTGATCTGCTATTGGTTGATCGGCGCTATAAATATCCCGGGGGTGTTTCCCGAAGATTATTTGCAATTAAGATTTATTACTTAATCAACAGTAGTTAACAATAATAGTATAATTAAATAGAAATTAGTATAAATTAAATAAAATGGGACAATCAAATCAACCCCAAGAGAGAGCAGTTGTAACTGAAGAATATGGAACTGCAGCACAGCCAAATTTATATCAATCACCTAGAGATCAAGTTGATGGGGTAAGAAGTATACCCAAAATTATCAAAATGATATAAAGAAATAATTTAAATTAATTAATAATAGTTATTTCGAACTTATCTTCTTAATGCAATAATTAAAAATATCAATATGAGAGTCACAGGTAGGATTCACAGATAGGCGAAGCATAACATTTCATTTCCTTTGTTCCAAAAAGAAGGAATCGTCTGAACTCACAGCTTTCTAGAAAAATTGGCGATGGGTTACCCTGCGTCTGCCTCTTGTTGACCAGAACGTATTTGTTTCTTAATCAAAACGCAAAATATATTTAAAATATGTTACCTGACAGAATCTATATATACATTTCCTCCGTTTATCCATTAATCCGAATGTAATGTCGAAGGCATTATGTTGACAATTAACTTGCTATTTATACCTATATAACTGATTTCTGGATTTCATTCGTTGAAAAATTCGAACAGTTTTGCAGCATTCTTTTCAATGACTGGTAGATGTGTCGATGTTCGTCAAATCGCTGATGTTAAGTAGAGCGGTATTCATCGATTTTAGGACGGAACTACTTTCTTATGCTAGACATTGGCATAATAACGCGCGCATGCGTAATCATTTCATACGATCGATATCGTAAATGTTAATGAAAAATAAGATAACGTTAAAGTAAAGAATAATCTTTTTAAAAGCGTAGTTTCATTCTCCTAATTGGTACATTTACATCCTCTTGATTTGCACGTCCAGTGTTCTTAATACGTCGCTTACCCAAGTACTTGTTAGGTTTATTGAACAATAACTTTTTGATAATATATAACTCTTCAACTTTTTTCTATCTGTAATATCAACAAGCGTTGTCAGAAACCAATACCGATAATGTCCTTATGTATTGATTCGATTTGAGGTTGATTTTTCATTACTTATGATTGATTGATCATGCTTGAAGATAAATAATGAAATATGGACAAACGGGTTTGATATGTGATATCATAGCAGTTATAATGTTACAGGGTGGTAAAAAAACGGCAGCCCTAAATTTTCCTCATATCTTTGTCATTTTTTAGAAATTTTGCCCAAATATTTGGCACACATGTAAAGCCTAAAATAAACAGATTAGATTGCCATTCAAAATTAAATACACGATATGACAACGTGCCAAAGGTGCTGGTAAGGTCAAAAGATGTAGAAATGAATATTTTCCCATTATTGAGTTTCTTATTGTCAGCCATGATTTTATTTCTAATTATCGTGCAAAACAAATTAAACATCAAATTCAGTAATAACTAAATAAAATCCGTATTTGATTAACAAAAATTATTGCATATATATACACATACATTGTATGGTGTCAAAATCTCATAAAAACAAGGAATCCTGGTGTGTTCCAACGCAGCTACTGTATGCCGTACTATAGTTGGAGTGAATAATACTTGTAGTTTTGTTACCCATGTATTTCTGATTTAAGGTCTAAAGGTATATAATTTTGCTTTCAGAGTAGGTCCATTGATGAACTCAGGAGGGTCTATAAAACATACCCTAAGGATGATGATGTACATGAGTATTACTTGGAATTACGTAATGATGTGAATGATTTGTTTGATAAACATCTTCATGGAGCTAATGCAAGGGAAAAATCCTATGAAATCTTGGACCTTGTACGTAGGGGATACAACACTGTCAAAAAGTTGATGACGTATACTCGTCATACACAAGTACAGGTCCGATTGTGCTTAGCCGCTTTAGTTAGAGGACGATACTAAACATTCTCTTAATGACAAAGTCTATCAGAGTCTATCTAAGTCTAAAAACACTGAATGACCCTGGGCATAGTTCGGGGTGTATCTAATCCATTCGCAATATGACTTTAGCCTTACCATGATATTTGCAATTTCAAAGATATATACTTTAAATAAATATTCTGGTGTTTGCATTTTTAAAAATAAAGAATGTAAATAATATTTTAAAGTGAACCATGAGTGGAAAATATTTTTTCACGTTCTGTACATTTGTATTTGAAATAATAAAAACATATCACTTTTATTCTTGTACTGTTTTTGTTGGTGGAATATGATAAATATCGACATATCTTCATTTTATGTGCTTTAACATCATTTTAGTCATTCATAACGTACGGGATGTTGTTCATATAAGATTGAAGTACGGAACAATTTAGTGAAAAATGGGTGCTGTGTAGATACTTAGAGATACGACGTCAGATACTGTACATCACGGCGTAACATTGTAATTGTTCATTTTACCGACAAAATGCAAAGATTTACGCGATAAATATGCGCAATGCTCCTCCAAGTAATTGCAAAAGTTTTAATATTCGTGGAATCTTCTTACAAACTTCAAATTTTGTTCAGATTAATGTGCGCTTCAATACAATTCTATATTCAAAAAGGTTTTGTCACGATATACAGAATTAGAATCACCAGAAAGTAGACATTTCAAACCCTACTCGTTTTCTTCTTTGTCGCGCTTTTCGGCCCTGCGCTCTCGTTGTCGCATCGTCTTTCTAGACTCTTTCACAGTGCCCTTTGTCATATTCAACTGATATACACAGACGGGAAGATATTAAGGATTGTTAAATGCATTATTTGTAATTTATTTTAACTCGAATATTTAGTTTTATTTATTTAAAGCAATGAATAATAAAGGAGAACATATAATACGCTAACGGCGTAACGTCTTATTTTGTAAAGGCTTCACTTGGGGTTGCGGTGATAAAATGATGTCTATCTCAATATATACTGGTTCAAATTAAATGAAATTAATTGTATGTTGTAAGGGGTATATTTAAAAGAACATGCTGAAACCTTGGAAAGTTTTGAATGTGTATCCCTTAATTAGAAATATTTGAACTCAAAAAATGAAACGTAATTTTGTGAATTTTTCACATGGCTTCACTTCATATTTCTTTCAATTTATGCTTCTTACAGACTGAATTTTAATCGAAATGGTATAGTGTTTTGATAAAAATATAGAATATGATATGCCTTTCAGGAATCAAAAAAGAATAATTCACCTTTCAAACGATTTAATGTTTAATTGATCAAAATATATATCTTGTTGGTACGAAATTCTGCCTGTCCACACTTTTTTTGCATAAATATAAGCGTTAAGTTAGCATTGTTATATTATGACGTCATCACACAGAATCTATTTCTCTTTTCCAAATTAGTGAATTAAAATATTGAGAAAATTTGAGAAAGATCCGTTAAGAAAAGAAAAAGTTATCTTCATTTTTCGTTTAAAATTAAAATCATTTTTCTTCAAAATGTTACAGTCCACACCCGGTTTTAGCATAGAAAGTCGCATAATACGGCTTGCGTGATTCTCATTTAAAAAGTCCCAAATCAGTTATTTGGAATTCTGATAGGCAAAATATTTCATGGACATACGTTTTCAACTGATGACGAAAAATTGTAGAAAAATATGATTTTGCTGTCGAGATATTGCGGTTTTAAAAGTAAGTACGCATGTAAAAATGCAGTAAAATGCCGCGATGTACAGTATCTGACGTCGTATCAGAGTATTCTGATCAAAAATCATTTAGGTAAATGATGAAATTTTGACTCAACTGCTTATTGTTTGATATTACCTAGTTTTTGATATATTCTTAGTTAAACTCAAAGATTCTGTTTACTTGAAGAAGTTATACATTGGAAATTCGTAAACTCAAAAATTTATTGTTCTGTTTTACTAACATCATACGTCTCACCTGTATAGACAATTCTCTTTAGATTCTACAAAGCCTATAATAATCCTTGTATAACGATTTTATCTCTGCCACAGATGGAAAGATTGTCAAATTAGAAATTGCAAACTTTTTAAATGTATATCCACGAGGAAATTGGAAGTGTTACTTGTTACTTTTTCAAAGAGCACATAAAATAACAGGACAACTGATTCCCATTTTTCAATTTTCCTACATCCAATATGTAAGTATTCAAGTATTAACATGCAAAATAACACCACATGTCATATGTTACAGACACCGACCGCCGGACGTCAACCGCCGTCACAAAAACGTAGATCATAACAATATGTAACCACTTTTGGTGATGACATAACAAATATATTTTTGATGGTTTCACACTTGCTTTAGTAGGGCGAACGCATTTTGGTTGATAATCAAGGGATTGACTTTTGGGGCATCGTAGAACTCAACACGAACTGTATATTTAGCAGTTGAGAGGTCATTTATCTATAAACTTTATAACATGCCCTGGTTCTCAAGAGAATATTTTCACAGTATGCTCGAAAAAATGAACCTAAGAATAAGTCAGTCATTGTGAACTGATATTTTCAAAAATGCTTGTAAAATAACACATTATTGATAATACACTGTGAATATAACGATTGATGGAGTTTTATTTTAAATTGGACATTTGACAAATCATTATTGCATTAGTTTATATAATTTACACAATACAAAGTTAAGAAGGTGAACTTATTGTTGTGAGGTGTTGTCATATTTCATAAATATACATATATGTATATACATTAGCATATGTGTATCCCCCCTTTTTAATTTCAATAAAGTGGACTTAATTCATTACTTATCTTATATGAAGCAATCGAAATGTGAACGTTACTCCAAATAATGTTAAGTTCTACTACTGAGTTCTCAGCAAATCTGAAAGTATGACTCTTTCTTAATAATACAGTTTAGCAACAGGTAAGAAATACCTCATTGGAACTCCACCCCTAGGACCTGTTACAGTATAGAATTAAGTAGGAGCATGATTTGAGAATGTCAATCAATCTGTTACAACACTCTGCACTTGTCACTCCAATCAGCTTTTAAGGCTCGGTAAGTTTTGGAAAAAAATCGATAGACATCGGTGACGATCATACAGACTTCTAAATAATAAACCGTTCTAAAAGTTAAATCGATCAACAAATGTACATACTGGTAATCTAACAGTGAATGCTACATATACCCATGGTGAAAGAACATTTTAGATAATTCATCTTGATATAATGTGTCGTCTCTTTATTTATCAGTGGGAAGTAATGTGTTTATATTCCAACACGTCATCTGTCAACTGTATCCAATAAAAATCAAGAAAATCTCTATTCAAGAAAGCAGATTTGTGTCCGTTCTTAGACCACCATAAGCCAACGTTTACTTCTTTGGAGAAGTATTACGAAAAATTAGACAAGAAAATGGGTAATTATTTTTGTCCACCTCCACCAATAGAAGATCCCGTTAGAAAACTGGGATCTGAAGCACAAATTAATAAACTACGATCTCCAAGGAATTTGTCTGATATCCACGCGGTAAGAACACACGATCGTTCAAATCATATATTTGATAAAGTTTTGAATTGAAAAACGTTGATTACTTATTAATTTATTTTCATATTTTCAGTTCAATAAATAACATGTTTCAAAAATGCTTGCTGAATAAATAAAAAAAATATCCAACGATTTTCGTGAGTGTTATCGATACTTACAAGAGCTGGTGCGTCTGATAGTAGAAATGATAATTTGAGCAAATATTAAGAAATAATATAACTGTTTATGAAACAATGAAAACATAAATGACAAGGCATTAAAATGACAAAATGTTACCACCTTATTGCTCACAATATAATGAGTTCAATCTTAGTCAGATTTGAATTTCTTAGAACTTGTAGGTAATTTTGAAAAAATAAATTGGTCATTTTGAAGCAAGTTGTAAAAATACCTCTTTGACCCTGAGAAGGTCATTGAAGGTAAAATCTCAAATCTCAAGTCAGATTTGAACTTCTGAGAACTTGTAGATGATTTTGAAAAAAATATTGGTCAATTTGAAGCAAGATAAAAAAAGACCTTTCGACTTTGAGAATGTCATTGAAGGTCAAATATTTTTTGACCTTGAGAATGTCATTGAGAACTTGCAGATGATTTTGAAAAAAATATTGATCAATTTGAAACAAGTCGAAATATACCTTTTTGACCTTGAGAAGGTCATTGAATCTCAAATCTAAAGTCAGATTTGAACTTCTGAAAACTTGAAGATGATTTTGAAAAAAGAGATTGGTCAATTTGAAGCAAGTTGAAATAGACCTTTATGGACCTTGACCTTGAGAAGGTCATTGAAGGACGAAGGTCAAATCTCAAATCTTAAGTCAGATTTGAACTTCTTATAACTTGTAGATGATTTGGAAAAAAGGTCAATTTGGAGCAAGTTGAAAAAAATACATTTTTGACCTTGAATAGGTAATTTAAGGTCAAATCTTAGATATAAAGTCAGATTTGAACTTCTGGAAACACGTAGATGATTTTGATAAATATTGAAGTCAGTCTAAACAGTATTTTTTAAGTTATTTGAAGTTGTAATAATTTGTTACAGACGCCGTTCGCCAACCGCCGTCAAAAAACGGAGACCATAACAATATGTCACCACTTTTTGGTGGTGACATAAAAATAAATGAAACAAGTTTGAGCAAAATGCATTTTATATGGACAATTCTTATGAACACTATGTGTCAAAAATGTTTGATTTGATAAACTGATATTTTTAATTCAGCATTGTAATTCATCTTCTTGAACAACTGAATGATGAAATCATAAAAACTGCCGATTTCCTTATACCTTTTAATTCCATTACTTAATTTTCAAAGATTAATAATTTGTTACATGTTTATGAATCATGCGCTTTAAACAATATGTTTCAAATTGGAGGTCGTTATTCAAATAAAATTCCAAATATGATTTCGTTCCGCCATTTCAGTTATTCTTAGTAAATGTGGATTTATTTGTTATATTTTATGGGTTAAAACGCAATGCTCCTTCAGATGACATAATTATGAGCCGAACATCAATTATCTTTATGTTTTTCTGAACCGTTATGGAGTGGTATGAATCTAAGTTCTGATCTTAAAAAGTATCAACCAGAAAGACAACATGTTTGTCAGTCATATCTGAATATTACAACCAATAAGCCAGCTAGTGTATCTAGAAAAATAATGTTACGTCATTATAAAGATCAACATACTAGAAAAG